GCGGGATATTTTTGGTTTTTTGGGAGCTTTTGGGGTTTTTTTTGGGTTTTTTGGGGTGGGATCTCCGAGGGGTCTCTCATTAATTTGGGGAGGGGTCTCACAGGACGAGGGGCGTCTCCTGTACATGGGGCAGAACGAATGGACCCACGTGAACTGCGCCCTGTGGTCGGCCGAGGTCTTCGAGGAGGGCGACGGAACTCTCCGGAACGTCCACGCCGCCGTGGCCAGGGGCCGACAGATGGTGGGGAGGGGTCTTTGGGGGGGAATTTTTGGGAATTTGGGATATTTTGAGGTGCCTCAGTGGGATTTGGGGCGATTTCTGGGGATTTTAAGGGAATTTTTGGGGGATTTGGGATCAGGGGAGAGGGGTTCGTGGACATTTTGGGTGGAATTTGGGAGCCCTGGGGGAATTTGGGATTTTGGGGAGGGGTTGAGGGGTCCTGGAAGGGTTTTGGGGGTTCCAGGTGTCCTGGGAGGGTCACCCAGGGGTGATGGGGGGGGGGTCTCAAATATTTTGGGAGGCACCCATGGGTGCTGGGGAGGGGTGTCTTAACTACAATGGACATCAAACCTATCGATAAATTACTGTAGAGGACATCAGGTCTACCCATAGAATGATATAGGAAAGACATCAGGTCTACCCATAGAATAATATCTATAGGAAGGACATCAGGTCTACCCATAGATTGTGATTGTAGAGATATCAGGTCTACCCATAGAATAATGTAAGAAGGACATCAGGTCTACCCATAGTTTTTTTAAATTGTAGAGGACATCAGGTCTACCCATAGAATAATATCTATAGGAAGGACATCAGGTCTACCCATAGATTTTGATTGTAGAGATATCAGGTCTACTCATAGAGTAATGTAAGAAGGACATCAGGTCTACCCATAGTTTGTTTAAATTGTAGAGACATCAGGTCTACCCAAAGACACTGGAGGGGGCATCAAAGCTACCCATTGATTTTTTCATGGGCGAGACATCAGGTCTACCCATTGTTGACTATGAGGAGCACCAGGTCTACCCATTGAATAATATAGGAGAAACAACAGGTCTACCCATTGATTGTTATTGGAGAGATATCAGGTCTACCCATAGTTTGCTATGGGTAACACAAGGTCTACCCATAGAATAATGTAGAAAGGACAGCAGGTCTACCCATTGTTTGTTACTCCAGAGACATCAGGTCTACCCGTAATCTGCTATGGGGGCACCAAGTCTACCCCTATAAGAGCTATAGGAAGGACAGCAGGTCTATCCATTGATTTTAGTTGGAGAAACATCAGGTCTACCAATAGATTGCTATAGACAACATCAGGTCTACCCATAGAACAATATAGGAAGGACAGAAGGTCTACCCATTGATTGATATTAGAGAGACATCAGGTCTGCCCATCATTTGCTATGGGGGACAGCAGGTCTACCCATAGAACAGTGTAAGAAAGACAACAGATCTACCCATTGATAGTTAATTGAAGAGATACCAGGTCTACCCATAGAACAGTACAACAAGGACAGCAAATCTACCCATTGATTTTTTAATTGAAAAGACATCAAGTCTACCCATAGAGTGGCATTGAAAAGTCACCTGGTCTACCCCATTGAACAGTATTAGGAGGGACTTCAGATCTACCTGTACACTACTATAGCAAAGTCATCAGGTCTACCCCCTTGATGTTTTAATATTGGGGATATCAGGTCTACCCATTGATTTCTATTGGAGGTGCACACCAGGTCTACCCATAAATTATTAGCAACACAAGATTGAACTGTAGACTACTATAGGAGGAACACCAGGTCTACCCTATATATATATGTATATCTCCATCTATAAAAGTATATATGGAACATCAGGTCTACCCATAGACAACCATAAGAGGGACACCAGGTCTACCCATAGATTTCTATTGGTATGAGTACTAATTGGGTCTACCAATTAACTCTTATGGAAAGCATGAAACCAAGCCATTGACCACTATAAAGGGACACCAGGTCTACCCATGGATTTTTACTGGAGGGGACAATTTTGGGGAGTCCCCAAAAGGTTTTGGGGTCTCCTTCAGGGGATTTCACCCTACTGTCTCCCTCCCCCAGCGCTGCGAGCACTGTGGCCGCCCCGGGGCCACCGTCGGCTGCTGCTTGGCCGCCTGCGCTGCCAACTACCACTTCATGTGTGCCCGGCGCTGCCAGGCCGCCTTCCTCAGGGACAAGAGAGTGTTCTGCCAGCGCCACGGGCGGCTCCTGGGCGGGGACGTGAGTCTGGGGGCTTTGGGGGTGGGGTTTGGGGTGATTTTGAGGGGTTTTGGGGCCATAATATTGTGGAGGTTATAGCAAGTTAAAAGGGGATTGAGACCACCTAAGGGGGTTTTGAGAGTTCCGGGGGAGGTTTGAGAGTTCTGGAGGGATTTGGGAGGGCCCTAGGAAGGATTCAGGGTGTTTAGAACAGATTTGGGAAGTCCTGGACGATATTTGGTGGATATCTGACCTACCAGGTGTAGGACACCAGGTCTACCCACTGACTTCTATGGGAGACACCAGGTCTACCCTGAGGTGGGAAAAAACTTGGGGGAAGTTTGGGCGGTCCCAGAGGGGTTTGAGAAGATCTGGAGGATCTTTGGAGGATTTTGGGGGGTTCCTGAAGAAGAGTTGTTGTGGTCCTCGAAAGAAATGTTGAAAACATCAGGTCTATCCATAGACTTCTATTAGAGGGACAACAGGTCTACCCAAAAAATGAACTCTGAAGGCCATTAGATCTACCCATATAATTATATTACAGGAACACCAGGTCTACCCCCATAGAATCTATAGAAGGGACACCTGGTCTACCCACAGACTAGTATTGGGGGACAACAGGTCTACCAATATACTTCTATGGGAGGGACACCAGGTCTACCCATTGGCTTACTACAAGGATAGCGGGTCTACCCATGGGGATTTTTTAACTGGAGGGACACCAGGTCTACCCCGTAGACCTTTTATTAGAGAGGCACCAGGTCTACCCATTGATTGCCATTACTGGGTTACTACCTTTGCCCATAAGCTTTAACTGGAAGGTCACCAGGTCTACCCTGTAGACAGCTATGGGAGGGACACCAGGTCTACCCATTATCTGCTATTTCAGGGATACCTGATTTGCCCATAGTAAATTTTTTTATCGGAGGGACACCAGGTCTACCCTATCGATGGCTATGGGAGGAGCACCAGGCCCACCCATTAGTTGATACGGGGTTACCAGATAGCCCGTAGGCTTTTTTATTGAAAAGACACCAGGTCTACCCCATAGAAGCCTATGGGAGGGACACCAGGTCTACCCATATTATGCTAATACAGGGGTACCAAATCTGCCCATGGTAATTTTTTAATTGAAGGGATTACAGGTCTACCTCCATAGACTTACATGGGAGGGACACCAGGTCTACCCATTGGTTGCTATTAGAGATACCAGATTTGCCCATGGTCGTTTTTTATTGGAGGGACACCAGGTCTACCCCCTGTAGACTTACATGGGAGGGACACCAGGTCTACCCCCTATAGACTTACATAGGAGGGACACCAGGTCTACCCATTGGTTGCTATTAGAAGGATACTGGATTTGCCCATGGTAGTTTTTTATTGGAGGGACAGCAGGTCTACCCCC